CCCAAACTTCAAGTGTCACCCACCCAGCATTTGAATCTGGCAATCCTCGGCGCTGGGCACGTCGACTGAGACTGAGATATGCCAGTTTTTTCAACGCTGCAGTTTCGAGAATCTGATCTCAGACTCAAATCCGTTTTGATAGCGACATCTAAAATCCAAGTTGTGCATTGCCTTGTTTGATGTTTCTGAGGTTCCAAACATCTGATAGCCCTTGCCATTTCTAAGGAAAACCTCCAGGGCATCCTGGAGTTGGAGCAAAGGATCTTGGGTCGCAACAGTCCCGGAAAGCTGGAGCTACTTGGTATCACTTGGTGGCGCTGCTGGGGGGGTTGATCATGGGATGGGGTTGAGCATGCTTTCTCCTCCAATCTTGTAACCTGATTTAATATGGTATGCCAAGTAATGTTGGCAGAAGTAAGGAATTCTGGTGGAGGAATTACTGAGATTTTGTATGCAAAAACAAGTGAGAGAAAAGATAGGTCAACTTGAAAAAGCAATCATGTTTACCAGAAACGAGTGGTATACATATCAAATGTATTCAAATGTTGGAGTTTGGCTGTTGGCTTTACCAGGTTACCATGGTTTACCACGTTATTTGCACCGTATATATTATATATACACAGTATGATATATACATACCAAGACCCTCCAATGATACATTTATTTGATTTTATTTGTGTATAGATTTTATTTTGCTCGTGCTGTGGGTTTTCGCTCGTTTGCAAAAAACTGCTCTTTTGCAGAAAACATGCTCCAGGGTTCATTCCTTCCCCATTGTCAGTTGGATTTGTTGCAGTTTTTGAATTTGCGTGTTTTTGCACTTTTTTGGCGGATATATTTGCGTTTTTTTTGCGCAAATTTTCGCTCGAACTAGTGTCGCATCAAAGCAAGCAAATCCTGTTTGCAGTCGAGCTCGGGTAGCCAAGAGAAAATAGGTCGAACTCAGTAAAATTGCTCGGATCAGAAATTTGCGCTACGAACTGGAAAAAGTGTATCGAGTTGTCGATTTCTGTATCGAATGACCATAGGGGCAAAAAAAAGTGCTACGCTGGAAGGTCCTGGTATATATATATATATATTTAATATATATATATACATACACATGCATGGGGACCTGATGTTTTAAAATCATAATATGGGTGGCTACCAGGAGGGCCAAGATAACATCACAGGCGGTTTTAATTTCAAGGTTCAAATCAGTTTAAGGATTCAAACTATTTTGGAGCTGCGAGCTTGAATTCTTGATCCGCACCCATTGAATGTCCAAGGCAAAAAGGTGACCAGTTGATGATGAAGGGCGACTTGCCACAGGCCTGGGCTTCTGCTGTGACGATCACTGGGGCAGAAGTATGAAAATTCTCTTGATTCAAGGCATGGATGACATCACATATTGCCTTGTAGAAGGACACATTATAATCCCTTCTGCAATCCAGGGCTCTTCTGTGGGGAAGGGGCTGTTTTTCTGCCAGGGATTGTAGCCAGGACCCCCCAGGTCCCATGTTGCTGTGGACCACTGTCCACTGTCACACTTACAGCTGTCCAAAACTAAGATGTACAAACGCGCAAGCCATGTGTGGGGTGGAAACGCGCCACAGAGTTACTGTCACCTAGATCATCCATGATCATCCTGGATCATCTTAGATGTGGGTACATAGGAATTTCCGTTGGTTGGGAAATAGCGGCGCGGAGCTATGGCAATCAATATTCCATCAGATTACTAACCATAGTTATATAAGGATTATGTACGTTTGCCTCCCAACTTATGGGGGTTAGAATCCTATGGTTATACCAATACGATCGCCTTTGTTCGTTAGACATTTGCCCTGGGGTCTGATGGCAAGGCCTTTGACTGCTATGCGCAAGTGCTGAAGGCTGGCTCCACCAAAAGCCAAAAGTAGATAGACACGTTGCAAACCTGGAAATATGAGATGAATTCTGATATCATCTATACATCCTGGAAACACTTTTCTATTTCTGGAAGTTACTATATACATTTACATATCATATAATCATATATATATAATATGTATACACCTGAGATCACCGGAGAAATAGCGCAATGAAACGCCATGCAAAGCAATGTAATTTTAATCTATTGTCATAGGCTGCAAATTTTATGTATTCTGATGCAATGTGTTGCAATGTATTGTAATTTACTGTACTTGAATGTAATGCAATATTATTTGATAAGACCTATATGGAGGTTTCCAAAAATGGGGGTATCCCCACATCATCCATTCCAAAAAAGGATTCAAAAAAAAAGATTCCTCCAGCTATTGAATAGTACCCCCATGACTATGGAAACCCCTATATGTTTGGGGTAAGTTGCTGGTGGTTGTTGGGTCATCCCGGTTGCGGCAGGTCCTGAAGACGCACTCTCCGGATCCACCTGGCAGCTCCCCGCAGCCTGACCGCGAAGATTTGCCGGGGATCATAGGGAAAGTATGATGCTACCGGACATATTCTATGCATACATATGTATAGAATATATTTAGAATATAATATGTGTATATATATATATATATATCTTTTTGATGGGTTGAGACCTAGTCAAGATCATTGAAGTCATTGAAGAGGAGAGACCTTGCTCTTAACAACACAACACTAGCGGACCGGAAAGTACCTAGTTACTAGTTGCTGCATTGCAGGCAATGCGAAGAGATGCGACGGAAGTTGCGACTTTCGGCCGCACTTCGTTGCGGGAAGCCCTTGGATTTGTGGGTTTGAACGCTGCAAGCCTGACGTTTCTCCGTGCCGGAGTTGGACGGAACATGTTATGACATGTTATGACTAGGTGGAAGCCGAAAACACAGAGTTTGGAAGTCTCTTCTACATTCTACTTATTCTACTTGTTAGCTCTGGACTTTGGTGCAGAGACTTTAGTTCAAATGGTTTTGTTTCAAGGTTTGGTGACCTTACCAGATCCGAGGTTCAGTTCTCGATGCTGCAAAGACTGATGGTTACCCGGGCAAGGCGTAGAGGCATCAAGCTATGATTTTTCATAGTTTTGAGAAGGCTCAAGCTACTGGGAGGGTGATGTTATTTCGCCGTACTTCCATTGGCAATTATGTACTAAATATGTAGGATATGGTAGTATGTAGTGGTCAGGGATGGTCGAAACCAGCAAAAGATTGCAACATATTGCAACACCCTTTGTGAATGATGACAAGTTTAAAGTCATAGAACCAGCAGTAGATCACTGTGGGTTTTGAAAGGAGTGCACAGCCTCCTTCGCCAATTTTTCCCTGGGCTGAACACCAAAATACCAGTATGCCAGAGGTTGCGAGAGGCCAAAATGACCGTTGCGCGGATTCACTTAAGACATCCACTCCGCTGAAAATGCGAAAGTCAAACGGTGTCAATGGGTGATTTTCAAAGTAAACAGTCAACGAAATGCTCCCAAAATTCAGCACATAGCTGCCCCAACCAAGTAGCTGGACCCATTTCCATATACTTGACAACACACATTAAACCTTGACAACAGATATATGTATATGAATATATATATATATATGTATGCATGTATATATATATGATTATATATGTAGTGGAATTTATGCCGGGGCTTCTCCCGACATCCGCAGCTTCCGTTTGGCTTTGTGATCCACACTGGGTCCCAGAAGTAAGACACAGTTGACACAAGAAGGACGGTCAAGGCTCAAAACCTGTGGCAGCAGACATCAACATGGAGAATGCACAACAATGCCCAATTACCGATACGTTTATAATCTTGCATATATAATGGCAACATCGGATTAATCAACCCCCCCCTGGTAGGTCAGTCGGACCTTCTGGCTAGTTTTCTTGACCACCCCTTAATAATAAGCAACTCTGAACCATAAAACTTTGGATATGGCTTACGTCAATTAGATCTTAATAGAATTCCATTGGATTTGTTAAAATTTCATGGATCAGAAAGGTGGTTGATTAATCAGGGGCAAACCCTGGTTATTATTAATGCGGGACATGGGCTCATGGGGGGTACCCTTTGGGAGCTATCCAAACTGATGATTTTTATAAAGATTTTAATTAGAAATCGATCATTTGGGGAATAGTTGTTTTTTGAAATTTTCAATGATCAACTTAAACCTTAAGTATAACAATGATGATAAAAAAAAAAGTAAAACGCAATTGGAAATAAATAGAATTGGAAATAAAATTGTTGAATAAAAAAATGGATTTCAGCACAGGGGGTTGATTAATCATGTCCCAGCCAAACGGTTTATTAATCCTGGGGGACCACCTCTTTTTTAATTACAAAAAAAAATTGGGCAGAGGGGGTTGATTAATACCGCGGGGATTATTAATCCTAACTTGACATTACATATATATATATATATGTATATGTATGACTTATGTAAATATACATAAACACACGCACATATACATATATATATATACCTGGAAAACCGTACGGACATTTTTTTGTCCATTATGGGTTTTACCCGTAACGGATGTTTATTTGTTTAATTGCGTATTTTGTTTTTTGATTGCGAAGGTTGTTTAAATCCTTTGACAACACCGGGCTCGGACATCCTCCGACAGTCTCGAAAAGAGGAATTTCAGCCTGAAGTGGGGCAAATTGGGAAGTCGCGATAGGGCCGATAGGGTACCCAAATCTGGCCACAAATACTGCCATATTTCCCACCAAATCTGGATGTACCCATAAAATACTAGTATTTTTTCAACATCATGTTGAAAAAAACAGCAAGCAGATGTCAACATACTGCCCCAAATACTGTCTCTAGACGAGACACTCATACTGTTCGGAACCAGTCCGACAAGTCCAAGATTTCAGAAAAACTGTTGACCTGTAAGTAGAGGGTTTGCAGCCGGACATGGCTGTATTTGGGAAAAAACTTAACAGACCAAAAAAATGCCCAAACCCGTATGGACAGAAAATGTTGTCTTTATGGTTTTCCAGGTGCATGTACATGTGCACTTAGTGTATATACGCACATAGCATGCTTAATTTTGGATATACAAAGAGAACCTCATGGGGCCATTTGACCGTCCGTGAGTTCCACAGAGACTGGAAATGGGGGAGATCTTTGTGAACAAACTCTACACTCTGCATTTTGTTTCTTGGTGGGAACAAGATTGGCACACTGAGTTCGCTAAAGTTTCCATCACTTTCTGAGTCGGTTTGGTTTCTTCTTCTGCTGGATTTTCGAACATGTGTGTTGTTTTTCTCCCAGAACAGATGACTATGAGGATATATATAATATAACATAGCTATGGCAAATCACATTTTTCCAGTAAATTATTTTTGAACAGCCCATTTTCCATCGCAAACTCTTGTATAAATTATATTAGATTACCAGAGCCTTCCCAAGCTGATGTCATTGGTTTCGCGTTGCAATCGACCGCATGACCGAGGTTTTTACCTGGATTCTGGCTGTGGTTGTGGCAGTGAATTGGTGCTACTGTTTCAAGTTGGCCTTGCCGCAATACTCAGAGTCCCTGCTGCCATGGTCCATTTATACGGCCTTTGTCACACTTCTCATGCCCGTTGTGAAGATGGGTTTCTGGTTGGTGGTTTCTGGTTTATGTTCTTTTCAACCCTAAAGATGGGATAATAATCCGTAATGACCTCCCTTTTTCAAGGGGTGGCTCCTCCCATTTTAAGGGGGTGGCTCAACCACGAACCAGGTTTGCTTTATATGGAGAAGCAGCATGAAAGATGGGGAAAGAACGTGAAGATATGCCAGGCTCTGCTAATAACGATGACGCTCAGCTCAAGTAGCGTTTCGGCTTTGAGGGCGGCATTCTAAGCACTCGATCAGGAAATGTTTGCCTTATCCTGCTAATCCGGAAAGGTACTCCAAATGCCATTGAAGACCTGATCATATGAATTCCAGGTGTGACATTTGCCTCAGCAAGGGCTAAGGTTCCAAGAAGATAAGATATAGCAACAGATAAGATATAGCAACGCCAAAAAACTTGGAGGTCCAGGATAGTTTTTTTTAAAGACATGCAGGCCTCCAAAATGTATTGAATTCCACTACCTTGAGACAGAACTTCCCTTATTCTTCTCATGACTAATATTGCTAGTATTATCTGGGGTTCCCTTATGACTGTTGCAGTGAACTCAGTGATCCTCGTATTTCTTGGGCACGCCGCCAGGACTGGTATGGTGGTTGGAACCAGTTGGTCTGGTTGGGTCTCCCTGCTGTTTCCCTACGTCTCGGATTTCAGTTCTCCCGGACCTACCGGGATCACCTTGGCCCTGTTGGTAACGGCTGTGCCATGGCAGCCATGGGACACAGCGGGTTTCAAATTTTCCAGGGTTGAAGATGGGACCACCACAAAGTGGATGTGGAAGATGATAATATGATATAATAGGTCTATTTGAATCTATTTGATAGTAATTAGATAATTAGATCACAAAAACTCCGGCTCAGTGGATTTCTTCATGTGGGGGGTCTCATTCCGGGGATTCCTAGGAAGTTGGGATGCTCTACTCTCATAAATGGACCTTTTGCATTTGGGTTGTGTTTTTCCTGACTTGTTCGGACAGCTCGGTCATCGTTTGAATCTGACGCTTTCGTGGATATTGTGGAACAATCAACCTCCAGGAGAGAATGATTAGGTTGTCCCAAAGATGTTGCAGCTATACTGGATATATATATATATATACATATTTATATATATATATAGGTACCACTTTTTCTGAGGCACTTTAGAGGGAAGGCCATGAAGACCAATTTTTGCAATATGGGTCGCACGCAGTTGTTCAGATATTACTTACCATGACCTGCATCAGATTCAAATGAAGCAGGCTTGGAGATCTTAGGTGTTTATCGTCATCCAGGCTGCATTGGAGAAATTCTTGGAGAATAAGCAAGACGATAGCACTTGGTACGTGATTTCATACGAGATTTTGCTGAACTCCCTGTGGTCATCCCTGGGTTATTTCTGGAATTCAGCTTCTTCGCCGCAAGTTGTTTTTCTGCACGGTGGTGCCTCCCCCTAGTTGTCAATTGGTTTCTAAAGCCCATAACTATGGTTATATCCCGGTTATATCCCCAATAAACCCTAACCAAGGTAGGCTAAACTTGCCCGCGCCGAGCCCGGCGCCGCCCGCGGGAAGGTCTGGAACCGTTTCCTCATGAAGCTGCAGCGCCGGGACCGGAAGCCGGGCCGAAAGCCGGGACCCAAGGCCACAGGGGCCGCGGCGATGCGGCAACTGACGGGGGCCCAACGCACTGGGCCAGAGCACAAGTTCCAGACCATTCAGGATAAAATGAATCTGGGCTTCATGATTCCCTTGCACAGGTTGAAAGAATGTTTGCTGAAGGAATTCTATACATGTTGAGGTGCCGGCTTAAGATTGCAGAAAAATGTCCATCGACTCCCCGACACATCTATGACATTCTATAAGGTCATGGCGCACTATTTGATTTCTATAAATATGGCTTCTCCTGTTTTATGCGCCTACAGGTACACCCCCTTCGTAATTTGAGTTGCAGCCATCGTTGTTTATGCCAGGACCTACCAGACATGACATAGGGATTAATACATGACAGTTCCAGTAAGACACGAGCTCTGTGACTTTCATCAGCATTTCCCAGAGGATCATTAATATATATATATATATGTATGTATGCAAAATATATGACGGTGCGAGGCCTCCTTGTTCCATCCTGAGATCATCATATGTTTCATGTTTCCCTGGAATGTAGTTCCCAAACGACCAAAGCATGCCAGCCAGTGGCTTGCTTCCAAGGAATGGCAGGCCCAACCAGGTAGATGACAATGGACCCGGCTACAGGCCCTTGCTGATCAAAGCCGCTATCACACTGTCAGTCTGCCTGGTGCTGCTCTACCTGCTCCCTGCATCTGAGAGATATTGGCAGGTTTTGTAGGGACCCCCTTCAGTCATAGGGTCTACATAGGTGAAACAACATGAAACAACCATATCCAGCCACCAGCTTGCCAGTTGCGGCGATCAAAGCCTCTACCGTATTGTGGGTATCTCAGTCCGCCGCTTGGGTTAGGTCCGTCAGCTATACCTTCTGACTTCATGGTTAATCAGTGTTTCTTTCATCTTATTTTCTTTTAGAGTGACCCATAGCACCCCCCCAAAAGGGTAAAAACAAATAGAACAGACATTCCCCCTTATTTGCTACATGATGGATACATTTGCTTGGATGTTATTGTTTACAGTACCTTTTTTTTTTTGGCTGCTGCATAGTTCTATGTTTCCCGGTGGCCCTGGTCACTGAGGAAGCCCGCGAGCGGCCAGAAAGTGGGGCAAGCCGAGGATGGCACCGACGACGTTTCTGGATCGCTGCCAAGATGATGTTGATCATCATTCCAAGCACTTTGGTTTGGCATTCGGAATCATGGAGATCGTTTTACTTTTTTTTGGGGGATATAAAAATGGGGGTATCATGGGGATATCATGGTGTAATATGATTGGATATGAGTTCATTATATTTAATGATACCCTTAGCATCCTGTTTCCAATGGATTTCATGGATTCGAATGGGGGGTGTGACGTCAGCGTGACGTCACTGAAATGATGATTAGCTTGCGGGGAATCCCCAAATGGCCGTATATATATATATACATATATATATATATACATATATATATATATATTTATATTATTTATTGTTCAGGTTAGTGATTTTGTCTAGTTCAGCCAGAATCTTATTGATGTAATGGAGATCATTCATCCCTGAGGTTCCCCTGTTGAAGAATGGTTGAAATACCACCAATTTTGGAGCCCACAATCATCAGATCCAGTACCAAGGCAACAAACTCGAGAAATATTCGGGTGGGATCAAGATTTACTGATTTACTGTACAGATTTGGATAGATGTGCGAAGGTCATAGTGATCTAGTGCGATCATTTTGTCATCAACATTTGGCTTCTGCCGCTCTACATGTTGTTGTGGCCACACGGGGCCCTCATTCACAATGGCCATACATCGTTGACCTCCAGTCAGTCTCATGTTGTCCCACAGTGGTCAAAGGTGGAAATGCTGCAGTTAGGATACTAGCGGCATTCCCAACCATTCGCCAAGCTAGTGGAGCTTTAGATTTGTTCTTAAGTGACATGTCACCCCGTGCCTATTGGTGGTGTAAAATCAATCGTGTCTATCATGTGTTGTGATGTTTCATGTTCAATTCCTACTTAGTCCCTACTTGTGATCATTCTCTCCAATTGGCAAATGTGGCAAATCAAGATATGAACCACCTCCAGTTTCACCATGCAAAACAGATAAAAGCGGGGTTCTTAAAATGGGGGATCCAAAAGTCACCATGGGTTTCAATACTACCACAGTCTAGGGTACCCCGCTGACTTGGGAAACATCCGAATATTTGAATGCACCATGCTACACCACTGCACCGACACAACTTGCGGAGGTTATGCTGTCACGGATGCTGGGTTTTACTTTGGAACCCAGTTTGTGGGGACGAAGACTGGGAGCGAACAGCTGGGATTGCTGGTAGCCTTTGGCTACGCGGTATTGATGACGATTCTTATTTTACGATTCGCGAAATACTTGCAATGGAAGCCTCAATCGATTTACGCTGGTCGCTTGTTGACTCTGGGCACGTGGCTAGTGTGCTATGCTTGGTGGTACCCTTGGCAGGAACTCTTGTATCAGATTCAAGGTTACGGACTGTGGGAACTGAACTTGAAGCTGAGAAGCACAAGCCTTTCTGGACTTTTTGGGCTGGTTGTGTGATTGACTTTAGATCATTTGAACTGATGTGAATGTCCTTTTTTCATGGTTTGGGGATTCCATGGTATGCCCAAAATCGTGAAGCCTTCTTTTTGTCCAAACTGGCGCAGTGGAGATCGCCAGAGATTGGGTACCTCAATGAACCTTACAGATCCATTGACATCAGGAGTAGCTCCATGGAATGCTTCTTCCAAGTGCTAATCACGCTTGCTGGAGCCTTGTGTTTTACGCTACTTGTAGGTGCGGTGGGCCAAGTTGCGTATGAAGACGGATGGAGCCACCATCAGCGGTCAAAGGTGGAAATGCTGCAGTTAGGATACTAGCGGCATTCCCAACCATCCGCCAAGCTAGTGGAGCTTTAGATTTGTTCTTAAGTGACATGTCACCCCGTGCCTATTGGTGGTGTAAAGTCAATCGTGCCTATCATGTGTTGTGATGTTTCATGTTCAATTCCTACTTAGTCCCTACTTGTGATCATTCTCTCCAATTGGCAAACGTGGCAAATCAAGATATGAACCACCTCCAGTTTCACCATTAAAAAAAAACATATAAAAGCCATACTATCCCCATTTGGATGTGTTTTTCTTGAATTTCTCTGAATTTATATTTTTCGGGGTTTGTAAAATCATGTAAAATCAAAATGAATGATCCCCAAGTGACCATGGGTTTCAATGCCAAACTATGCCAAACTGTTCTAATTTGGATGATTTGTGTATATCACCATTTTTGGAAACCTCCAAATCACTTGGGATCATCATATGTTTTTTTTTAATGATTGAACGTAATTTGGGTAAAACAATGTCATAAATCATCCATTTGGGAATGGTTTATACCACCTATTTATGGTGATGACTGGGGGGTGGTTGATTTTTGCTTTACTATATTTTACTCACATGAATGAAATTAATAAAACTAGATTCTCATCCACCAGGCTTTTCCATAGCGCAGCTCACAGCTTGGCAATGCGTCCTTGGAACGCAAGATGTTGACGAAGCTTTATTGGAGGCCGGAGCCCACATCATCCGTGGGGCATGAAAACATGATCCAGAAGACGTTTGTATGGGTAATCATACCTACAAATAACACCTATGAGCATACATAAATATAGAAATATGTGCACACGTGTATACCAACATTTTCACAGAAGTATAAACAATGATAAAAATGTATATTAACATATCAACGCAACAAAGCATGTACACACATATGTAACATACCTACACATAACACACACACATATATATATATATATATTTGCATATATATATATATACATATGCAAAAGTATGGAAACATACAGGTGTAATTCATATGTATATGTATCTAATGATGCAGCGTATGCGCAATTTTCCTTATCTCCTCATTTGTTGATGTATTTTGTTTTACTTTTAGTGTTGTTTTTTGTTTCTTATGTGTTTTTGCTTTATATATATATATATATATATCCATTTGCGATACATATATGCCACAGAGAGCTGCAGAAGTTAGAAGCAAGACGCGTATCACTCGCATTGCAGAAAAACCTGATTGCCGAAATCGTATGTTAACACCCTGCAGGATGTGACGTCGCGTGATGAGCAACTTCGTAACTTTGCAAATCGCCTGGGATTGCAACCTGCAACTGCAGCACCTTGCTTGGAACTGACTCCTGGACATAGTGGGGCTGGTCTCGATGTTGAAGGCTAAATTTGGAATCGACACAGCAAAGATATGCGCCTTTGGTTGGGAAAACATAGTTTAAACATAGTTTGGTAATTAATCATTATACCAAAACTACAGGATGTAAATGTGTAAAAAAATAAAACGAAACAAAATGAATATAACGACGGATGTCCCGAGGGCGGAGAGGAGCATAATTACTCAAGTGTGAACTCCGTACGATGTACACTCACTGTGAGCATACAAGCAGAGATAAGCAGAGCGATAGAAACAACAACATGTGTAAGTACGAAGGAGATGATCGTAAAGATCGGGAAGGACAGAAAAGGAAAGAAAGAGGCAGAGACAGAGAAAGGGAGAGAGAAGGAGAGAGAGGGCAGAGGTCCTTTTACACAGAGAAGCTGTTGCGCACAGAGGAGCTTTTACACTCCTACACAGAGTACATAACAGCTTTTACATGCAGGGCGGCTTTTTAAACAGGGCAGCTTTAACACAAGTCAGCTTTTACTACACAGGCCAACTTGTACACAGATTACCCAGCAGTTTTTATATGCGGCAACTCTGATGCACGAAGTAGCTTTTAAAAAGGAACCCTTTGAAAGCAATTTGTCTACAAAAAATATATTACAGCGCGAGGTTATATAGGAATGTTCGTTGCCGATGGCCAGGGTCCCTCAATTTATCGGAAAGGCCCCATGTATGTCATTGTATATGTACAATTATTCGGTCGAGGGTCCCTTAATTTCTTAGCAATTTCTTAACGTAGTATTTCACAAGCAATCAGATTTGAAGATGTAAGAGCGGGGTTGCCTCTGCGCAGCTCCTTTCGTGAGTTTGACTCCGCCATCCTTGCGCCACTTCCCAGTGGCTCCTGGGCGCAAAGGAACAGTTACCCGGTCTCCTCTGCAGAAAGCTCTTACCAACCCATACAAAGCTCTTACCAACCCTTACATGATTAAGAAATTGAGGGGCTGGATTTCTTAGACGTCTCCTCTACACAAGGCTCTTATAAACCCTTACATGGTTAAGAAATTGAAGGCTGGATTTCTTAGTTATGCATTGAATTGAACCCTTCCCAGCGGCAACAAGGCAGCAGAGGCAAGGCAATCGAAGGCAAAACGAGCCAAGGGAACAGATGATTTGCAATGAGTCTGGCTGGTGTCTTGCTGAAGCTATTGCCTTCAGACTTCGTGACCGTGTAGTGGCTCGACCCTGGTCCGGCTTTTTGCTTGTTATTCCCAACCATGCCATGGTTGTGCAAGGTTCATTTTGGCGGGAATTTGGTCGCAAGGGAGGCTGGCTCCATTTCCCGCTCCGAATAGAATTTTTGTATAAGCTATTTCATAGGTAAGAAAATTGATCAGGAACGTAAAGGAATCGAAATTTCTTATAATTTCTTA